GTCTGGGTAAGAGCTAGTGATAGGCGTTGCCTCGTTGGTTTGGGTGATCTCGTGGTTCCCTGCGGTGATGTGGTCACCGCGGGCCATTCCCCAAGCAAGGTCGCCAGGAGCCATGGCCATCTGGCTTTCTAGGTGGAAGGCCTAGCCATGACAAGTGATGAGAGAAGGCCCTAGGCTCCCTACATAGGTAGACTCTGGGATGCAGTCCCCGTGGGCAGTTCCGAGAGTGCGCCACCATAGGTCGCGGGACCTAGATTCCCGAGGTGGAGGTCTAGGTCGTGGCCAAGGGCGGACACGGGCGTCGGCCCTTTGGTGTGGTTAACCGCGTGGTTCCCTAGATGGATGTGGCCTGTCGAGGCCATTCCTCAGGCGAGTTCACCGTGAGCCGTGGTCCTTTGGTTTCTCGAACAGGAAACTTGGCACGGCTTGCGACGAGCGATGGTACTGGCCCCTCTGGGTAGGTGAACTCTGGGATGCAGCCCCCGAGGGTAGTTCCGAGAGTATGTCCATCGCGAGCCATGGGACTCATATTTCTAAGGTGGAGGTCTGGACTGTGGTTGGTGGTGGACGCGGCCGCTAGCCCTTTGGCGCCGATGAACCCGTAGTTTTCACGGTGGATGTGACCGCCGTGGGTCATTTCACCAGTGAGTCCGTCGGTGGTGCGAGGAGCCATCGCTTCCTTCCTTAATCAAACGAGAGTGTGTGACTGTCCCCTACCTGGCACGCCAACTATCAGTGTTTCGTAAACTGGACTAGTAAATTTATATGATTGCCGCGCTGCTCTAGGAAGACGATAGTAGCATCCAATAGACACGAGGATTTATACTGGTTTAGGCCAGAGCCCTACGTCCAGTCTTAGAGAAGATCGAGTGCGTGTTCCTCGCTTGAATGCTCTGAAGTTCTTACAATAGGGGGTGCAAGAATGGTGAAAGAGGTGGTAGAACATATACTAGACGAGGGGTAGCCCGAAGAGAAACTCCAGGAGCCCTACTGCTATGGGTGAAATGGTGGAGGATGAAGAATGTGAAGATGTGAGCCCTGGTTGCCCTTATATAGAGTTCAGGGCCAGGGTTTGTTACAAAGAGGAGGTTCCCCCAACCAAAAGGTCGAGAGCCTGAGGGAGGTCCTAGCTGACTTGGTTTGCAAGCTACGCCGTCTTCTGATGCTCGGCGTGGCATGGCCATCGTCATGGTCTTGTGGCCATGTTGCGGTAGGGTCTAACATGGTGCTACTGTGCTGGTCGTGGCAGCACTGTAGCCACGGTGGTAGTTCGTCAACTGTCCTGTGCAACGCAACATCCGTCATGGTCTCTACTATCGTCTCCAGGTTTCCCAGGAAGTTGTACCCGTAGTTGGTAGCCGCCCTGGGTCGTTGTTCGCCTGGTCGCTTCGTGGGGCTGAGGGCCACGACCCCGATCATTGGGGTCGGGGCACTCCGCCAGTCGAGAAGGTCTCTAAGTTGAGACCCTTGTCATGGGTCCCATCCCATAGTGGGTGGGATCGTACGTGCATCCCGTTGGTCCGTATTTGAACGGTGGGTTTCGTACCCATTGCCACTGTTGTGTGGTGCTGTCTCGTTGGTGCGGCGTGGCACAGGGATGGCATCTGACCAGACCGAGGTGACTGCTGTCCCCTTGATCCTTGTGAGGTAAGTGCGGCGTACCTACTCTTGTCAGAGCAGACATACTGAGCCACGCTCGATCTCTCCCCATCCTACCCTAGGGGTCGTGATGGGAGAGAGGTCGCATGCCTTTCATGTGGCCAAGGCAGGAGAAGGGGTCATGGCCGACCCTAGCCTAGGCATTGGTTCGGCATGCTTATCCAAGCTGGGCCTCGGTCGTTCGGGCCATTGTTAACCCAATGAGTTGTGAGCCGCGTGGCCTGCCAACTAATCGGCGCCTTGAGACACCCCGGGGTCATAACCTCGACACAACCTATCTCATATACACTTTAGACAAAGGTTAATACACTTAGGTTTCATCAATTATCCAAAACCAAACTAGGGCTTTCACCCACCCGAATCATTGGGTATGCTTGACGCATGCTCAGAAGAGGACAACGACTTCAAGACTAACATGTCGTCTTATTCTTTCAAATCACACAAAGGCTTAGGGGCTACTGTTGGAGATATGTACCCAGGGTAACTGACCGCATGGACAACAACCTAAGTAAGATGGGGTACACCAAGCAGGCTATGCAAGGAGCCCAACCCAGACAAGGTACCTCATCTACTTGGAGGATAAGGCGTAGCAAGGTATATTTAGAAACCAATTCTATCTACGTAGTAGTAGATTTCCTTGTAACAAACTAGAAAGCCCACATGTAAATTGATCGGGATTCTATCTATAACCCAGCTCCTAGACTATATAAAGAGGGGTGGGGAGCCCCCGATCGGTATCCCAACATACCCCAAGACATCTCGTCTCATCTAGGCAACTAGCCATCAACATCCCTTTATAAACTCGAGCATACAAACAAATAGATCTACTTCAAACTGGACATAAGGTACCACGTACCTGAACCAGTATAAACCCTGTCGTGATAAGCTGATTCGTATTGCCGGAGCTTTCCGGCACCTATAAAAACCATGACTAATCTCTACTAGTAATGGCCTCAATAGAGTGATAGTCGATGCCATTGTGCTTCTTCAACAGTAGTTCCTCTCTAATCCCTATTGTCAACTTGCACCTCCACTTCTCAAGTGACTACTCAACAAGATGACGAGAACATGTGCACAACAATTTTAAATCATAATACCATGGAGATATTTGCATGGTCCTTATAACCTAGACTTCTTTCCTTTTTTCGTCAGGCCATGGGCCAACAAGCAAATAATCTTCTAGGTAAACCTTTGTTTCTTGGGAGACCTAGGGATTCAGGAACCATGCAGTACAGAAAAGGATTTTGGTCAGTGCCCACTTTCCCAAGGCCTAGAGTCCTCCAATCTCATGCAAGGGCCAACCAATATGATGGTGGGATGCAGGAAGATTTCACCATTCTTGTCAAACAAAGGTTGCATTTCAAATTGACCAGCATGCCGAAATAGAATGCTGACATGGAAGAATTCAAAGCGCCCACAGCCGACGCCAAAAATCGACCAAATAACTAGCCCGTTTGCTAATGTCGACCAAATGACCCACCAAAGTAGCGTTTGACATCTAGTTCTATTCATTAGTGCATCGACAGGAATGCATCTAGTTCTATTCATTAGTGCATCGACAGGAACCCCAACTTACATCGCACCCTCTAAGTTCAAAAGCCGAGTGATAGAAGATGGCAAAACGCAGCTACGATGACAGCCACCATCATGATGGTCTCTACGACAACCAACTTCGCTAACATTAGAGAAGTTACGTTAGCGAAGGACATTGTTTTGAAACGGAGGAGGTTACCCGCAAATAGGCTAATCTTTTGCGGATTATAATTAGCATGTTAATGGATTCACGGACAAACCACTTTGCATCACTACGAAACATGAACTTCTCTAACAGTGGCCTTGTTCGCTTGTCTTATAATCCGTACTTTTCAACTTATTTTTTTAACCAGAATAATATTTTTCTCTCGCAACAAATCAATCACTGTTTCGGCTTTTTTTCAGCGAAGCCAACAAGACCAGTGACCGCGCCTTGCAGACATATGAAACAGTAGTAACTTCTCTGGTAGTAAATGGGACTACCAACCTCTTATATCAGGATGAGATATGAAGGTAGCACAGCGACAAAAACATGGACAGATCTTAAGATACCGCAATGAAGAAATTCTAGATAAAGAGCAAACTCACAAGATACATCATACATAGACCACAACAGGGACTCTCAAAGCTAAGATTCAACACCACCAGGCAGACCAAAGAGACGCAGAGTTTCTGACCACATTCCTCCTTCATACCACATTACCACCATATTAGTGACAAACACTCATACACAGAACGACCGAGGCGAACTGCCGCTTCCTCCAATCACGCAGGCACGACGACCGGACGTGCGGACCGATGTCTAGCCGGAGATCTGGATGGACTTCACCTCAGGCTTCTTGACGTCCTCCTTGGGCACAGTGACTGTAAGCACGCCGTTCTCCATGGCGGCCCTGATCTGCTCCGTCTTGGCGTTCTCGGGCAGTCGGAACCTGCGCAGGAACCTGCCGCTGCTCCGCTCCACGCGGTGCCAGGTGTCCGTCTTCTCCTCCTGCTCCTTGTTGCGCTCGCCGCTGATCTGAAGGATGTTGCCGTCCTCAACCTCCACCTTGACCTCCTCCTTCTTCAGCCCCGGGACGTCCGCCTTGAACACGTGCGCCTCTGGGGTCTCCTTCCAGTCGATCCGCGCGCCAGCGAAGGCCGCGGTCTCCGAGCTGGTGCGCGGGAACGAGGGGAAGAGACTGCTGCTGCTGCCGGAGCCGAAGGGGAAGCCCTCAAAGGGGTCCCAGAGGTCGAGGGAGAAGGGATCGAACACGTTGCTGCGGCGGATCAGCGACATGGTCGGTTCGATTGTTGTCTTCCTGTCGACGAATCGAAGATTTGTGAGAGAGGTTCGAGTGATTTGGTTGAGCTTCTGATCGAAGATTTGTTGTCTCTTCTGATTGCTAGAAGGGGAGTTTTTATAGAGGAAAAGCGATAGCGATGAAGTGGAAGTGGAGGAGAAAGTAGTTTCTGGAGAGTTCTCACGTGTTCGAGCATGGACCCGACGCCGCTGGATTCGAGCGTGGAGAATGCTAGAGCTATCCAGACTTCCAGTGGGTCTCTCTTCTAGATCGAAAGTAGCTGGGCTTCTAGTAATTTTGTTCATGGGCCAAGGCCCGGCCTTTTGCCAAAAAACAATTCAGCCCAACATCAAAGAGGGCCCACGCGTGCACACTCGTCAGACCTCTCTGTCTCGTCGTCTTCCTAGTTCAGGACTTTGGATTCAGGCGACTCGCCGCACGCACTAGAGACGGCGGAGTCGTCGGGGAGGTGAGCACGGCGTGGTGAAGTCGTGAGGAAAGAAAAATTCCACCGCCGTGGCAGCCATGTCGGTGCAGGAGTATCTGGAGAAGCACCTGCTCTCACGCAGGATCGAGGAGGCCGTGAACGCGGCGGTCCGCGCCAAGGCCCCCGACCCGGTGCTCTTCATCGCGGGCCACATGCGGCGGGCGGCCGTGATCACGAGGGTGCGGGCGCGCCAGATCCTTGACGGGCACGGCGCGCCGGCCGTTGAGGTCGAGTTGCACACCAACAAGGCCGTGCACCGAGCATCCGCGGCCGGCGCGGGCGCGCTCGAGGGCGCCGCCGCCGACGCGGCCGGGGGCTCCGAGAGGTGGAAGATCCTCGCCAGGGTGGTCGCCGACGCGGTGCGGGTGATCAACGACAAGGTGTCGGAGGCGCTCGTTGGGATGGATCCGCAGCAGCAGGCGCAGATCGACCAGGCCATCATGGACTTGGACAAGGCGCGCCACAAGGTGGAACACTCGGAGATCCTTTCCCTTTTTCTCTCCTCTGCGGGTTTTTTTTCCTGAATTCTGCATTGTCAAACCCATGCTATATACAAACAACTGATGGCTCCATATGCTCAAGCAATTCTTTACATTGGGTATAGTCAATTTAGGGGCAGTATGGGACACTAATTATTTCGGTTATATTTGACTGTTCGGAAATAATGCTGTTCTTCACTGTCTACTTGTGTTTCCACTTACCACTACTGCCTCAATTTTTTTGTATCTTGATTTCGTTCCATTATTTCTGGCAAACAGATTTTGTCCAAATGGAAATAGCTATGATATTGTGCGAAATGCAGGCTGAGCTTGGAGCAAATGCTATGCTGGCAGTGTCAATTGCAGCTTGCAAAGCTGGTGCTGCTGAAAAAGAGGTGCTGCTTTTCTGCTAAAATCATCATAATTTGAGAAATGTGTCATGCGACGGCACAGAATTTTTATTGTCGGATCATTGAATGCTTGATGCTGTGCAGGTTCCACTCTACAAGCATATAGCAGATCTTGTTGGCAAAAGCGCTACAACTCTTCCTGTCCCTGCAATTACAGTCATTAATGGTGGAAAGCATGCTGGAAATGCTCTTCCCATTCAAGTATTCCTCCAAACCTTTAGAATCTGAGAAGTTGAAGGCATTATTCCCTTATTTTGTCCACTTGAGTCATCTTTTGCCTAAACAGAAACATATTAAGATAGCTAGTTGTTCATGTATATCAACCATATCAACATGTTTAACTGTAGTTCTGGAGTAACTATAAATCTTTCTTATTTTTAGGAAATTATGATCCTTCCTGTTGGTGCTAAGAATTTTGAAGAAGCAATGCAGATGGGTTCCGAGACCTATCACCATCTCAAGGTAGCCTTCACTTCTAACATTCTGTGCTGCAGATATCTATATGTTAGCAGCATAAGTGTTCTCCACTCATACTTGGTTCAAGATGTTCATCAAACATCATAAGATTGACTTCAATAACAAACTAATATTGCACTCAGTCTTTCTGATTCCTTCTCTCTTTTTTTCCCGTTCTGAATTTAGCTACTATTAATTCATTTGGGTTGGTTGTCGTTGAGGCAAATTACTGACATTACTGACCTCTTAGCTCTTACAAGTTTCGCCTTCAGACTACCAGAAAGGTTTGCTCACTTTTGTAGATATTTACTTACTAATAATTACTTTTACAGGATATTATCTTGGAGAAATGTGGCTCAGACAGCTGCAACATTGGAGATCACGGTGGGTTTGCTCCAAATATTTCCAGGCAAGTGAGAAACTAATTTACTATTTTCTGATATCACACATTTCTTGTTTTCCCAATTGGGGACCTACATATGGATTTCAATATGCCATATCTATGTTGCTTTATTGATGTTCAGCATATCTGAAGGCCTGGATCTTGTTGTTGCGGCAATAGAGAGGGCTGGATATAATGGAAGAATAAAATTGGCAATTGATGTTGCTGCTACTGATTTTTGTGTAGCTAAGTAGAAAAGCAGTGCATTGCCTATGCATGGACTATGTAAATGTTCAAAAATTAACTCTCTGAATAAAAAATATCAAACAGACTATGAAATTTGGTGATAGGATGTAATCATTCTGCTGCTCTGGTTGTGTCTGCTTACTGGAAGAGTTTCACGCAGTGTTTTCACTTTTAGGCCCCTATCCATATTATTTGTGCCTCAATTTTTCCGTGCTGTCATCTGTTTGTTTAATATTGTTGCTACTAAACACCAGAACCAGCCATTGCCATTGAAAGCATGCTGTCAGAACCACCTAGCAGGAATCTTGTAACGATAAAGGGCGTACCCAGTGCAGAGAGCTCCCGCTCTGTGCAGGGTCTGGGGAAGGGTGTCAGTGGCAAGCCTTACCCTCACCCGTGCAATGCGAGGAGACCGCGACTCGAACCCGGGACCTTCCGGTCACAGGCGGTAAGGCTCTACCGCTTGCACCAGGCCCGCCCTTCAATCTTGAATTCGGATGTTGCTACATATTCTACTTGCAGTCGGATGACCAGATAATGAACAATCTTGAACCTTAGAAATAGTGAGCTTGAATGTTAGTTGATTCTATAGTCAATGCATTGGGTTCTTTTGTATTTGCTATGTGATGAGTTAGCTTATGGCTATGTTCACCCAACTCTTTGCAGGAAAAAAATATGATCTGGAGTTTAAGTCAACAAAGAAATCAGGGCAGAACTTCAAAACTGCTGATGATATGATTGTGATCTATAGCCAGCTTTGTTCAGGTATCCCTGAATTGTGGGTTGGCATCATCTTTCTTTTTCTTCTATGTATTTTTGTTTCATGAAGCATATAAACACAAGTTTGCTGATTTCTTCCCTCCACTTTCTGCACTAGAGTACCCACTTGTCTCCATTGAGCAGCCCTTTGATAAAGATGATTGGGAGCACTCAAAAAAATTGACCACTCTAGAGCTGTGCCAGGTGATTTTTTCTTCTAACTTTCAGTTATTAGTTCTAGTTCGTGAGTAGCTCATGGTATGAAATGTGTACAGGTTGCAGGGGATGACTTGTTGATGTCTGACCCCGAATGCATTAAGCGGGCAGTTAGTGAGTACACTTGCAATGCTCTTGTTCTCAAGGCAAGTATCAAGTCATCCCTATAAATTATTTCTTATTGGGGCTAGTTTGTGTTATATATCCATGTTATTGTAATAGTTCGAGAGTGACAAGTAACAGTACCACATGGCATGTAACTCTGGAATTAGGCATGCTTTATTTCACAATTATTTGACAATATTTGGATGCTCATACTAATTCTTTATTAAAACGCTACTCTTCCTTCTCAATGGTCATTATAAATGAAGCTTTGTGTAGTCTGAGTTGAGTTGTAAGTTTATTTATATAGAACAGTGTTGTATTCAATCTGAAACAGTAATACATTTATCATCCATATATTATTTGAATTTGCTGAAAGCTGAGAAACTTGCAATTAAACTAGTAGGCTGTAGCCTCTAGGCACATTGTGGTCACAACCTCTTGCTTGCACGTGTATTTTCATCACAACCTTGCTCCCTAAAGTCCATATATGGTTCTGTTGACGGCCTGTTTCGAACATGATTATTTCATAGGTTTTGGCAGGAAATATACCGCTGCTGCAAAGTTTCTATATTCCTTAGGGGCCCTTATTATACCTGTTGTGTTTCTTGTCATGTTTAGTTTGTCAATAACATTTTATATATATGCAGGCAAATCAAGTGGGCACTGTCACTGAGGCCATAGAGGTTGTGAAGCAGGCAAAGGATGCTCATTGGGGTGTGGTGGTGTCACATAGGTCTGGAGATACTGAGGATTCTTTCATTGCTGACCTGGCTGTTGGTGCTGCAGCCGGACAGATCAAAACCGGTGCCCCCTGCCGTGGAGAGTGTCTAACTAAATACAATCAGGTTTTTCTTTCTGTTGAACCCTTTATATTTCTATGCGAGAACACAGCATACACACCACCATGAATACAACTGACTTGTGGTAACCTTGCAACGTTGACTTTGCAGCTGCTTAGAATAGAGGAAGAACTTGGAAGTGAAGGCGTTTATGCAGGGGAGAATTGGAGAACTGTAAGCACGAGCTGATCTGTGGTATCATTTGAGTTGCGGGTAGAATTGGAAATCTTGACCTGCCTTCGTATGTAGCCACTTAACTTTTATTTGTTGTCTTGTCCAATTGCGTGTGCTCATCCTCAGCAAGGATATGGAAATAGGGTGGTCAAATGCACCATTTTGTACTAGATGATGGCATTTTTGTCAAAAATATATATAGTGGATGCAGTGGTGGGGTTTACATTTTTTATGTTGTTCAACTTGGATTTGTTTAACTTGTGTATATCATGGGTTATAAACATGAGTACAGAACTTGAGAAGATGGTTTAAGAAATAGAATTGAGTTACATTCTAGTATAACTGGTCATTTTTCGGATCTCATAGTCATATAGTTGATGCACTTCAAGGTTATGAAACTATTCGGTCGGGCTCACGGCTCTGGCTGAACTACAGGTATGACCTAAACCATTTGCATGAGTGCATACTTTTGTTTTTTCAATCAACTTTGCCTAGATGAGATGAATGCCTAATAAGCTGGTCCACAAGCTCTATACTGTGGACAGTACCGTATGTTTATGGTTTAAGGCAATCACAATTGATTTTCCAAAATCTTGGTCCACATAAGGGTTTTTAAATCCTTTTGAATTAAAAGGTGGAAATATCTGGTGCACAAGATAACAGGAGTATATATGGATGAACATATACACAAAATCAATCTAGCCCTTTCTATTTATTCTGACTTCTAAGTTCTGAGTGGCGCATGCGAATATTATAGGCGGTGTCAGCAACTTCAAAGCCGTGAATTATACCATTCAGAGTATGTATGTATAATAAGATGATGTAAGTAGGTCGTATAAGGTGCCACATATGATTTATGTTGAGACGGAGGGAGACCAAGAGGGCAGAGGAAAAAGAAGTGAAACTAGCCATAAACGGCTTATGCTCGTGCTTCAAGAATCTTTGTGAGAGTATGATAGGTCAGATATTCAGCCTGTTCGTTTCGTCGTAAACGATCGTGGATTATTTACTGCTGGCTGGTTTGGTGTGAGAGAAAAATACTGTTCCAGCTTATAATCCACGATCGTATACGAGCAAACGAACAGGCTGATTAATAATGTAGTTATATCAGTAGTCAACAATTACATGAGTGAGCTATTAGAAGGTTGTAAATGATATGGTAACAATATACAACTAGCAGTTATCTGTGTTATTATTAGCCATGTTCTGATTGCTCTTCCGAGGCCAGTCTCATTAGATATTTCATGGTCTTTCCAAGACAATGAAACTTGGATGAAACACAAATTCTCAATGCAAAGTTTCATTCTATAGTTTCATAGGCATTTAATTCCATGACTCATAGATAGTTAATAATCATGTGAGAGTTTCATCTCTCTTCTTAAATACATTGTCATGTCCTAAAAAATGTATATTATGTGGCAACCTACTTGATGCAAATGGCAAACTGCCATGAAACCCACTGAGACTTGCCTAATCTCGGAAAAAAAATCCAGTGCATACTGGATGCACCCACCGGCTGTGCAGACTCACTCTGGATGTGCGGCACACAGCATCCGACGCCCCACAGCCCGCCAACCACGGACCATGGTCTGGAGGCTGCAGCCGAGCGCGTGTAAGCGCCTGGAGGCGGATGCACCAGATGTTAACTGTTGTCCACGCGGCGGCAGATCAACGTGTATGCACCGAGTCTCGGTGGATACAGTATCACCCAATTTTTTTCCCTAATCTCACGGGCATTTCAATTTCCAATGCTTCCATTTGCATCGAACATGCTTAAAGCATGAGGCACTCATGTCAGTGTGCTCAGCGTAATCCAGCAATACGGCGGTTCTCTGCGCACAAGACCGTACAAGAACAAACTCAGCTAGTTGAAGTGTAACCGTTAACCCTGCCTGGGAGAGCTGCTTCACTTTTCCCTTTCCGGGAGGCAGAACCCTCCCAAAACAGGGTGGCTTTTCGACCTATATATAGAGAAGAAAGTTCACTCAACCAAAAAGAACCTTTTAGTATGACCATCCACCAAACCAGACTGCATAGTACCCAAGACAACAAAACAACAGAGACAATATATCGATCAATAAGGGCAAGATACCCGATTTCATTACTTGCACAACAGTTTCAGTGAAGATTTCACTACTTGATGCACAACAATTTCATTGAAAATGACAGCAATTCCATGGTTCACCGATGTGATCCAGCTAGCACAGCAGAGGATACCAAATTAGATCAGTCCGGTATCCTCAGGGCATAGATGGAATAACATACAGCATGCGGTTTTAAGTAAAAACAGGAGGCTTCCCAACTCTCGCCTTCAAACCCCACTGTTGAAATGGCACGATCAGGATGAATCAGAGGCTGGTTGTTGTGGCTGTGCTTCAGCAGCGCCAGCTTGACCGACGCAAGCACTTGATCAAGTGGTTGTAGCTTCCTTCTCCTTGAAAAGTTGAGAGAAATGATGTTTGCAGTAGAGGATGCCCTCCAAGGCTGCATAGTTGGAAGGTGTAATCGCACAGCCCCCGTGGGAGCATTTGAAGCATGACTTATGGTAGGCCTTTTCTTCAACTGTTACCTGTGCAATATTTTTAACAGCCATGCATTAGAACCACTGTCCACATGTTTTGCTGGCTCAAGGAAAGCGATCAGAAAGAGTTTTGATGACCAATGTAAAGGCAATCAAGAAAGGATAATTAGACGAATTAAGATGAACGAAGATATAATTTTATTGTTAAATGGAGCAAAATTTAGGTTGACAGCACGACCTGGTTAACATGACTAGAAGGGGACAAATATTTGTTCAGTTGTGAAAGCCATTGAAACCCATGGGGATTGATCCTGAGACGTTCCATAGCAAATATTGACCTTGATGAAATACTGAATTCGATGCCTACATCCCAAAATTTTGAAAGGAAATAATGAAAAGTATAAAAAAGCATAATGTGATCAAAATTACCTTCTCAAGAGGATATGCGGTTTTACCGCAAGTCGCACACTTGTCTTGTGTTCCTGAAAACATCCTTGCAGCTTTGCTTGGTGATCTGGTCTGGATAGCAGATTTTGGACAAAACTTATCACTTCTCCATTTCAAGAATACAATGAGACAAAAACTAATGCGTACAGACTGGCACTCACCAGCTCAGGGGCCAACTTTTCCGGAGTAATCTTTGCGGCTGAAAGATGTAAACCACGAGTACATCAGTGCATCAGATCACAGAAACACAAAAACCTGCATTTTCATGTCAATGATTCGGTACTGAATGAAAGCGTACGTGATTGCGATTGGAAGCTCTTGTTGTAACTCCCGGTCTCCTTAAACAGCTGCTCGAAATGGGCCTTGCAGTACGGCACTCCTTCGAACGAGGAATAGTTGCTCAACTATCAAAGGCGAAAAGGATGAAGACGGAGATTGTCAGACCTTGCACAACTGCTTATCTTTTGCCTAGACATGCATCGACAGGTCGTCCTAAATAGAAGATCAAACAAGAGTTTTCATTTGCATCGATTTTCTGCCCAATCCTCTCTGTTTTACCAAGTTAGCGAATGGGACAAAACCATGATCTCTCCTGGGCACAGAATTTTCCTGATACTAGGAAACTCGCACCAGATCCGTTCGCCGCAGCAATTCGCAGATCTACTACCCGATGCTACATTGCATTACCCTACAGATCCATCCACCTACCCCATTAGAAGAGAAACATGGGCAAGGGAACGTACGGAGAGGGTAGACTTGCAGTGCTGGCACTTGAAGCAGGAGCGGTGGAAGACGACGCCGTCGGTGGAGAGCTGGTCCATCGGGTACACCGTCTTGGTGCACACCTTGCACTTCTGCTGCGTCCCGCTAAACATCTTCTCCCGATCACCGGCCAACCCCTCTCCCCCTCTCTGTCTCACGGGTCGTGGCCGGCGAGATCTGACTGAACCCGATCTGGCCTTGGCCTGCGCGCGCGTGGGCGTGGGATGAAGAATGAACACCCTCCCCCGGCGTCCCGATTGCCGGGCTTATATACGCAGGAGCACGAGGCGCGATTAAGCGATGGAATTATGACGGGTTCGTCTCCCTCCCCCAGCTCGCTCGCCCGCGCCTCACTTTAGCCGCGGCGGAAAGGAAAAGGCAGCAGCAGCAAACAAGCAACGACGGGGTATATCGGATGATGGAGGCACAGCACAGCACAGTGCCGTGCTGCTGCTCATTAAACTAGTGAGCAATTATTACTACCACCATTAGTGCGCATTCGAGGAGGAAGCTCCGCGCACAGGATGCTGTGAGGGCTCGGGTCACTGGTGGCGGGGCCACCATAGGGTGGGACCAACGTGTCGGCGAGTAAGGAGTTCCGCAGCTGCGGTGGGGGGACCGGTAAGAAGTACGGGAGAAGCAAGCTCTGGTCGCATGGGTGGAGGGGCGAGCGGGACTCAGGCGTCAGGATCTGTGGCGTGGCGCCGTGGCGGGCAGACGAGATATTATTGCGCGGGGCCCGGGCAGGCGTGGTGCGGCCCACGTCGGCCAGCCTTTTTCCGGCTGCCTCGTCACTGGCTAGCTACAGCTACAGCGCAATCGGCCCGGGCAGACGAGATATCCTCTTGTTTCTGCGTGATTGGCAGTTTGGCTCGGCACTGGCTAGCTACAGCTACAGCTACAGCGCATTGCATGGCAGGCATTGAAGTCCCTCAGCTTTTTTCTCTCCAATTTTTATTGAGACCGAAAGGACGAGACGTACGGTACTCGTATGCATTTTTGATACGCGCACTACTGTCAGGGAGGGTGGTTGACAGTGGGGCCGATGGAGGAGCGTGTCGTGCTCGTTGTTGGGCCGGGTCCGTCACGGTCTCGGTCATGTTCGTTTGGCCGTGGTATGTCATAAATAATCTTAAATTTTTAGTTAAAATAGTTTTTTTTTCATACAAATCAGCCAACAGTACTTCTTTACGAACAACAATAAATCGATAAAAAAACCGAACAGGCTGGCGGCGGCGGCGGCACGCGACAGGGGCGTAGGCGCGGAGCAAGGGCTTCTCCAGTGGCGAAAACAAACCGATGCAACGTACTACATGTCACCAGAATGAGTCGGTTAATTGACTGGAGCACATCGACCCACGAAGGAGAGAGAAAAGTCAATGCAAACTTTTGCATCGCTTCTTTAGTGGCCATCAGCAATAAAAAATGATTGGCATGTTCGATTCGTTGAAATCTACTAGGTTTTTTTTTCCTTTATTAGTCAAGACTTCTCTTCACGTTTTGTTTCTCAAAGCCTAGATGTGAGCTTCTCAACCTTAAAAGTGGTGTGCTGTGAACTTGCTTGTTGTTGGGCCGGGTCTGTCACGGTCTTGGGCATGTTCGTTTGGCCGTGGCCTGTCATAAACGATCGTAAATTTTCAGTTGGAATAGTATTTTTTTCTCACACAAACTAGCCAACAGTACTTCTTCACGAACCAGCAACGAAACGAACCAGCCAACCGAACAGGCTGGCGGCGGCGACACACGACAGGGGCGTAGGCGCGAAGCAAGGGCTTCTCCAGTGGCGAAAACAAACCGATGCAACGTACTACATGTCACCAGAATGAGTCGGTTAATTGACTGGAGCACATCGACCCATGAAGGAGAGAGAAAAGCAAGGATGGCAACGGGTCGGGTTCGGATCGGGTGGAGTCTCCGTGCACCCAAAACCGAAACCCGAAATCAAAACCCGAATCCGCCCCGAAAACCGATTTGGGTGGAAATCCATCACCAAAACCAAACCCGCGGATACCCGAAACCCGAACGGATACCCGAAACCCGAATGGATACCCGAAACCCGCGGATATATATACACATATTCACATGCATAAACAAGAGGCAACGAATAATAAATATTTTCATGAGTCAACTTTAAATAAATTTAATAATCTAAGTAAACAAATTATTATTAGTATATTATAAAATATGAGTTTTAATTCCAAATGATTTATTTCGAATATCCATTGGATATCCACGAGTGGAAAACCAAACCCGAAATCGAACCCGATTGGTTTCGGGGCCCCGAACCCGAAAACCGTGGGTGAAAAACCATCCCCAAACCCGAACCCGCAGAACCTGAAACCCGTGAATATCCGCCCCAAACCCGATCCGTTGCCATCCTTAGAGAAAAGTCAATGCAAACTTTTGCATCGCTTCTTTAGTGGCCATCAGCAATAAAAATGATTGGCATGTTCGATTCGTTGAAATCTACTAGTTTTTTTTCTTTCTTAGTTAAAACTTCTCTTCACGTTTTATTTCTCAAAGTCTGGATGTGAGCTTCTCAACCTTGAAAGTGGTGTGCTGTGAACTTTGTAATAATGGGTCTGATTCTACCTCGGTAGATGAAGCCGGATATAAACTATCCTTTATCTAAAAAATAATAATTTATTATGAGAGAAAAACATTGTTCGTTCGTTGAAAGTACTGCTAAAGTAGCGCTGACCAACAAAGCCGATTTCTTCATCCGATGAAGGGCCAAGGAGAGGTTGTCTCCTCTATGTGGCCCTATGTCTCTCGCGTCGACCGCTGCAAGACAAAGGTGGCACACTCTCCTGAATAAGGGGGTGTTTGACAGGACTCTTCCTAAGAGACTCCTTCAGATGAACTAGAGCCCTTTTGAAGGAGCCATAAATTAGCTCCGGCTCCTCTGATTTTCCCTAAAAAATCGATCCTCCTGTAAGAGTCCATTTGGCCAGGCTTCGAGCGGCTCTGGCTCCTCTGACTCCACCACTGTTCATCTTCTATAGCGACACTGTTCACCAAAGCCGTTTTTTTCTCTCCTCATTTTTTCTATCACTGACAGCGCCGAAGCTAAAGAAACTCGTTTTTTTCTTCTCAACTCCAGCTCCTGCACGCTACAGTACGAGAGCCAAGCCGGCGGGAGCCTGGCCAAACGCGCCTAAGGGCGTGTTTGAGACTGCTCCGCTCCACGTTTTTCAGCTCCGCTCCACGTTTTTTAGCCAAACGGTTTCAGCTCCACGCACTCTGCTCCAGGAAAAAGGGTGAAGTTGTGAGAGCACCTAAAGAGGTACTCCACAAACTCTAGTTTTTTGTGAAGCTGCTCCACGGTAGAGTTTATGGAGCAGAGTTTGTGGAGCAGTCCTAAACACGCCCTAAGTCTCCTCCTACGGAGCCGGAGCCGGAGCAAGAAAAGGCCACCACTGCAGATGCTCCGTAGCGGTGGACTGTGGACAGGTCGACCGTAGTACAATCCATCTGTTGCACCTACTGTACAGCTCATTTTTCGTAACGTGTTGCTTTTACAATCATGGTTAGCCTGCGTTTAGTTTCTAAAAATTTTTCCAAAAAGTACTACAGTATCTATCACATCAAATCTTATGATACGTACATAGAACATTAAATGTAGACGAAAAAAACACTAATTGCACAGTTTAATTAAAAATCACGAGACGAATGTTTTGAACCTAATTAGTCCATGATTAAACATTAATTGTCAAATAAAAACGAAAATGCTACAGCAAATTCCCAAATTTTGTGAAAAACACGGCCTTAGTGTACTTGCTAAATCATGCCCGACATTATGGTTGGTAATACTAATACAGTGTAACTAGTAGCTAGAAAAATGCCAAATTGCAGCTTCATGTTCCGTTGTGAATTGCCATCACCGACCAAATATTCGCTATAATCTTTGTAACGAACCACTATTTTAGCTCATAGCCAATCACAGCTAAGTGCACATCAATTACAACAAGCTGGACAGTTGGCACACTTTGATATTAAAATGCATAAATCAATTCTTATCCCTTGATGGTGTTTATGTACACTTGTAGACCAGGTTCACTCCACGAAAGAATTCAGGCACCATTCTTTTTCATACACAGGTACACTAGTACATACACTAGTACACAGATCACTGTGGCTACAGTTCACCCACTTGGTATTAGTTTATGCAACAGCTAGACAGCACATAGTGAAGTGACTAGGCTGAGACTTGGAGTAAAATATCTTCTATGAGAGATGGAGAAGAGTAGTAGAAAAAAGAGCTCAGGTGAAAGGAGCCTCGCCTCCGTCGAAGTAGTAGCCATCCAGTTCTCGGCTCTTCACTCAAATTGAGGCCTCCAGAAAAACACATCGTCCACTCCTTGCTTGAAAAAAACACCAACTTTTCCAACAGCAAAAGATGGGGGCTGACCAGGAGAGGAAGCCACGAGAGATCCCAAGTGCCTGCAAGCAAATCAGGAAGCACATTCGAAGTAGTCAAGACCTGTAGGGGGAGTGAGTGTCTGAAGGAAACAAGCCCAAGATTGGAGCTAAATATCATCAAGATTAAGGTGAGGTTTCACCTACACAGCCTAGAGAAAAATTTCCTTTGTCTACCAAGAGCACAGAACACATGCCAAGGGGACAAATATTGACTGTACTAGTTTTGCACATCAAACAAACACTAGACAATATGTTCAGGTTGCAAGAAAAAGATGGGCTAACTGTTACTAGAGCAAGAAGTAATCCTTTTTAGCACAAGTACACACATAATACTTGAGCCTTGGCTAAAACTCTAACACAATAACCTACACATCTAGAGCACTCAGATATGTAGCATTGAGTTACAGATTTGCAGGCTAGGTAAAAAAACAAAGGAAAGGACGATGTGGGAGAGAACTCACTGTCACGTTGGGGAGAGTTGTTGCCGGAGCCCAAATCCCCACACACAAGCATGCTCAGGGCTCCTTGGCCCTGCCTGGGCGTTCATGGCTGCCCAGCTCAGCACCTCGGTGTAGCACGCCGCCACTGCCGCCCAACCTGCACGCAACACAGAGAAAGAAATCGAAGGGGAAAGATAGTTAGATAGCTCCTAGGGTCCTTGGATTCGGTTTTGAGGGAGTAATCGAAGAGTAAATCAAACAATGGTTGTCGATTTGGGAAAGGTAGCTTGAACGCCATGGATGCAGGAGGGGAAAAAGGAAGTAGAGAGAAAATGAGAGAGAGAGAGGAGTGCGTGCGTTGGTCTCTGGGTCTGTTGACCCTGCTGCTGCTAGTGCTTTTGGGCTGCAAAGCATTAGTACTAGTACTGTGCAGTCAATGGCTTCAATTAGGTGAAGGTTCAGCTCACGTGAGAGTAGAAAAAGCTTGACAATACTAAATTAATTAATTTAATGATTGACTAAGTGCAGCTATGCAATCTTGTTTTTATAAATCACAGCATAATTGATACTATGTACCAGGAAGCTATTTCTTTGACTGTAGGATGAACACATGGCTACGTATGTGCTGTGTATACATTTGTGTGTTGTCTATTTTTTTCTAAGTGTCAGTATATATTACTAATTACAGTAAGCGAGCAAGGTCAGGTGCAGGAACATCCAGCGAACCAGATTGAACCCGAGTTGAATCCTAACAACTCAGGCAAGAATCCTTGATCATTTCCTCCTTGAGTTTTTATACAAAATTTGGTAAAATAAAAGTAACCTGCATTAAATGTTATTTTCTGAAATTTATTATGGATGGATGACATGTGAATTGGATGACATGGGATTAGCTGATGGAGCAACTATGTCAAAGTGTCAAAAACCGTTGAATTAGTTCAGCTCATACAACTAGCATATTGCCTTCCTGTCAGTTTGCAACAGCACTACATATACTCAGTACATGTGTATAAAAAAAAAAGATCACTCAACAACACTCGCCTTGCAGGATGGGTGAACATGACCTTGTCTTTCGCCTCGGGTACAATGGGAATGGAGGCATTTCATCTGGAAATCATAGCTTCCTACCCAGGGGAGGACAACTTTCAACCTATCCCCACAATGGTGAGGCTGGAAGTTCCAATGCCAATGACGAGGCTAGGAATATTGGGGATATTCTACTGTTCGTGGAAAATTCCCGAAGTGAGTCACAAGAGAATCAAAATAGCTTCATGGAGGCCATAATAAACAGACTTGCTCCAGGTGGATTAGCACAACCAGTAGTAGGGGTTAGCTTGGGACAATTCCTTCAGACTCAACCACCATCATTTTCCAAGGCCGTGGACCCCCTTGAGGCCCATGACTGGTTGCTGGAAATTGAAAAAAAGCTTGAGACAGTTGGTTGCTCAGATGAGGAGAAGGTGAGGTACGCAGCCCACCAATTGAAAGGTCTTGCTGGGGCTTGGTGGTCAAACTTTAAGCACAATCATGCTGAAAATGAACCTGTTACATGGGCAGTGTTCAAACAAGCTTTCACCTTGGCATTTGTTCCAAATGGAAAAGTATCAATTAAGAAGAGGGGGTTTCGAAATTTAAGCCAAGGGAATAAAAGGCTGGGAGAGTATGTGCATCAATTCACTGAATTATCAAGGTATGCCCCTGACGATGTGAACACTGAGGAGAAAAAGGTTGAGAAATTCATGGAAGGATTACACCCATTCCTCCGGATGCACTTGAGACCAATGTTTTTAAGGCGTCGCTTTGGCGTCGCCTAATCGGCAAGGCGCTACAGGCAGGACGACTTGGCGGACGACTCGCCTCAGATTGGTATGGCGTCCGCCTTACTACCATGGCGTCCGGAAGTCGTCGATTTGGCGTCCGATTCGTCGAAATCGAGCAAGGCGGGCGCCATACGGGGATGGCCACGGTAGGAAAACGCGGGCGCGGGAGAAAGGACGGGGAAAGTGCAGGCGCGCGGGAAAGCATCGCGCGCGCGGGAGATTAGGCGCGCGGGGAGAGAGGAGCGCAGGAGAAATCAGAGAGCAGAGAGAGGAGCGCTCGCAGGGAAGACGGACCTACCTGCTCGCCCGCGCGAACGCGTTCGCCCGCGCCGCCGGTAGAAGCTGCTGCCGCCGAGGCTCCGCCTCCCCCTCCCCTGTTCCCCATCCGCGCGAGGAGCAGCCGCCGGCGGGCTGCTGTTTCCCCGTCGCCTCTTCTGGTCCTCCATTGAGCAGGACACGAGCCGCTTCGCCTCTCCCTTCCCTCTTCCCCACCCGTGCGAGGAGCAGCCGCCGGCGGACTGCTGTTTCCCCACCGTCTATACTACTGTTGGATGGCCGTAAGGCGTCGTCTCGCCTTACGCCTTACTCGCTTTAGCGTAAGGCGGTCGTTGGTCGCCTCGCCTCGCTTTACCGCCTTAAAAACCTTGCCTGACACCTCACATGATCACCAAATTTCAAGATCTGGTCAACAGGGCCATAGTACTTGAAGATGAGCATTCTCAGTTGGGTGAAGACTGAAGAAAGAAGGAAGAAAGCAAGGTTTGAGCAAAGACCCATGACGCAGCAAACACGAACACGTCCCCAAATGCCACTGTTTAAACCATCCCCAACTAACTACCAGGTTTCAGCTCCCAAACGTGGGAAGTGTGGAGGGAGACATCTTACCAAGGACTGTTTAAAGGGATCAGGGGTATGCTTCAACTGTGGCAAAGAAGGACATCACAGAGCTAACTGTCCCTACCCAACAAAACCAACTGTGCAGCCTGCACAGTGCACTCAAGTGATCAATCAACCGGTTAGGAGAGGAGGTGGTGGACAGGTGAACACAGCAGGGAGAGGAGCAGGACGTGGCGGACCAAGTGGGGGAACAGCCAAGCTGAATTATGTGAATGCAGAGCAACTAGGAGCTGCTACAGATATTATTACGGGTAACTTACTCATTCCACCTGCTGTTGGTACAATCCTTTTTGATTCAGGTGCTACAACTCCTTTATCTCTCGAGACTTTGTGATTAAACATGGATTAGTGCACGCACCCTTGGAAAAAGCCCTGGGGGTCAATTCACCAGGTGGACTATTAAAAGTAGAAAAGATATGCAAAGACCAGCCCATAACAATTCAGAATATTAAGTTTTTGGCAAACCTACTTGTGATAGATATGACCGGGTTAGAAGTGATATTAGGCATGGATTGGTTGCATGAGCATAGGGTATTGTTAGACTGTGAACACAAGTGTGCATCCATAAGAAGGTATGATGGTTCTAGGATATTCTATTTTGGAATTCGGACTAGACTGGTAGACCCAAATGCAACTCTAGCAAGCCTGAAAGAGAAGAAACTAGAAGACATACCTGTAGTTCAAGAGTTCCCTGATGTTTTTCCTGAGGACTTGCCAGGCATGCCACCAGATTGAGAGTTAGAGTTTGCAATTGAATTAATACCCGGTACAGCACCCATTTCCAAACGTCCCTACAGAATGGCACCACAAGAATTAGTCGAACTGAAGAAACAGCTGAATGACTTAAAACAAAAAGGATTTATTAGAGAGAGTGTGTCACCTTGGGGTGCCCCTATACTATTCTCAAAGAAAAAGGATGGAGGGCTTAGGTTATGTACAGATTATCGTGATCTGAACAACGTAACAACAAAGAATAAATACCCACTGCCACGGATAGACAACCTATTTGACCAACTAAGAAATGCTTGTGTATTCTCAAAGTTGGATTTAAGATCTGGTTATCATCAAATGAAAATGAGGGTAGAAGACAGAGAGAAAACAACCTTTGTGTCGAGATATGGACATTATGAGTATACAGTAGTTCCTTATGGATTAACCAATGCACCTGCTATGTTCATGAACTTAATGAATAAGCTCTTTATGAAGTACTTGGACAAATTTGTGGTAGTTTTTATTGATGACATTCTCATATTTTCAAAGAGGAAAGAAGAGCATGGTGAGCACTTGAGAATTGTACTGCTGATCCTAAGGGAGAACCAATTGTATGCAAAATTTAATAAATGTGAATTCTGGTTAGACCAAGTAGCCTTTTTGGGACACGTAGTGTCAGGGAGAGGAGTTGAGGTAGGCCCAAGCAAGATTGAGTCTGTGGTGTCATGGAATCGACCTACAAGTCCCACTGAGATACAAAGCTTTCTAGGATTGGCGGAATATTACCGTAGATTTATAAAAGGATTCTCCCAGATTTCTGCACCACTTACTAAGTTGCTAAGAAAAGGCGTTGAGTTTGTTTGGACAGCAGCTTGTGAGAAAAGTTTTCAAGAACTAAAGAATAGGTTGACCACTGCACCAGTATTGGCCTTACCTGAAGGTGGAGAAGAATATATAATATATTGTGATGCCTCTAGGTCAGGATTGGGGTGTGTTCTAATGCAAAAAGGTAGAGTGATAGCATATGCATCTAGGCAGCTGAGGAAACATGAAGAAAATTATCCTACACATGACCTTGAACTGGGAGCTGTGATCTTTGCACTAAAGATTTGGAGACATTATCTCTATGGGTCTAAGTGTGTCCTATATAGCGACCACAAAAGCCTCAAATATATATTCACTCAGAAGGAATTAAACATGAGGCAAAGGAGGTGGCTTGAGCTCATAAAGGATTATGATCTCACCATTAACTACCATCCAGGAAAAGCTAATGTGGTTGCGGATGCTCTCAGTAGAAAAGCCCATTGTAATAAGCTATCAATTGAAGAGTATTCCCAAGAACTAAGTGTAGAGTTGGCTAAGATGGAAATAGAGTTCGAGAAATAGAGTTCAGATTGTCAAGTACAGAAGCAAATATTGCAACCTCCCACCCTGTTGGACCAAATCAAAGAAAAGCAGAAATCAGATGCATTTATTGTGGAAGAAGCAAGAAGAATTAGAGCAGAACAGCCATCAGAATTTAGATTGGATGAAAGAGTTCTCTGGAAACATAACAGAATCTGTGTACCGGATGTTTCTGAAATTAAGGAAGTAATTTTGAGAGAAGCACATGATACACTATACACCATACACCCAGGGAGCACAAAAATGTACAGGGATCTAAAAGGCAATTTCTGGTGGAGAAGCATGAAAAGAGAGATTGCAGAATATGTAAGCAAGTGTGACACTTGTCAAAAGGTGAAGGCCGAGCATCAACGACCTGCTGGATTATTAAAGCCACTAGATATTCCAGACTGGAAATGGGAAGATATATGCATGGATTTTATCACAGGCCTTCCCATGACCTTACGCAATAAAGATGCCATATGGGTCGTGGTTGATCGGCTCACTAAGTCAGCACATTTCATTCCCACCAACCAAAAATATTCATTTGACAATTTGGCTGAAGTGTACCTAGAAAGAATTGTATCTATCCTTGGAGCTCCAAAAACCATAACCTCATACCAAGGATCCGTATTCAGTTCAAGTTTCTGGAAGAGCCTCCACCATGCCTTAGGGACAAAACTCAACTTTAGCACAGCCTATCATCCTATCATCCGCAGACGGATGGTCAAACGGAGCGGGTGAACCAAATACTTGAGGATATGTTGAGATGTTGTGCAATGAATTTTGGGGAGTCATGGGACAAACACCTACACCTAGCAGAATTTGCATACAACAGCAGCTATCAACCAAGCATAGAAATGGCACCATACGAAGCTTTGTATGGACGTAAATGCCGATCACCTATTTGCTGGTATGAAGTGGGTGAGAAACCATTGCTAGGCCCAGGTTTAGTAAGGGAGAATGATGAGAACATACAGGTGATCAAAGAGCGACTTCGGATTGCACAAAGTAGACAAAAGAGCTACGCTGATAAATGGCGTAGAGAATTGAAATTTGCACCTGGAGATTATGTGTATCTGAAGGTATCCCCAATGAGAGGAGCTCGTCGATTCGGAATAAAAGGGAAGCTAAGTTTTCGGTATGTTGGACCATTCAAAGTACTAGGACAGAAAGGTACAGCAGCTTATCAACTAGAACTGCCCATTCAGCTTTCCAAAATTCATGAAGTATTCCACGTCTCACAATTAAAGAAATGCCTAAGAGAGCCATCTGAACAACTTCAAGACCTGAATATCAAGCTGCAGCCAGACTTGAGCTATGAAGAGCGTCCACTAAAAATACTAGAAGTTGAAGATCTACCAGTAAAAGAAAATCAATTACAACAAGCTGGACAGTTCGGCACACTTTGATATTAAAATGCATAAATCAATTCTTACTCCTTGATGGTGTTTATCTACACTTGCAGACCAAGTTCACTCCACAAAAGAATTCATGCACCATTCTTTTTCATACATAGGTACACTAGTACATAGATCACTATGCCTACAGTTTCGCCCACTTGGTACTAGTTTATGCACACGAGGTGTAGCCATGTCCTTCTAGAATGAGGTAATCCAATCTAGTAGCAACAGCTGGACAGCACACAGTGAAGTGCCTTGACCAGGCTGAGACTTGGAGTAAAATACATTCTATGAGAGATGGAGAAGAGTAGTAGAAAAAGAGCTCAGTAAAGGTGAAAGGAGCCTTGCCTTCGTCGAAGTAGTAGCCATCCAGTTCTTGGCCCTTCACTCAAGTTGAGGCCACCAGAAAAACACCTCGTCCACTCCTCGCTTGAGAAAAACACCAACTTTTCCACCAGCACAAGATGGTGATTTGATCACCATAGAGAGCGACATGGGGTGAAAAAAAAAAGGGGGCTGATCAGGAGAGGAAGTCACGAGAGATCCCAAGTGCCTGCAAGCAAATCAGGAAGCACATTCGTAGTAATCAAGACCTGTAGGGGGAGGAGTGAGTGTCTGAAGGAAACAAGCCCAAGATTTGGAGCTAAATATCATCAAGATTAAGGTGAGGTTTCACCTACACAACCTAGAGAAAATTTTCCTTTGTCTACCAAGAGCACAGAACACATGCAAGGGGACAAATATCTTGACTGTACTAGTTTTGCACATCAAACAAACACTAGACAATATGTTCAGGCTACAAGAAAAAGATGTGCTAACTGTTACTAGAACAAGAAGTATTCCTTTTTAGCACAAGCACACACATAATACTTGAGCCTTGGCTAAAACTGACACAATAACCTACACATCTAAAGCACTTAGGTATGTAGCTTTGAGTTACAGATTTGCAGGCTAGGTAAAAAAACAAAGGAAAGGAACATGTGGGAGAGAAGAACTCACTGTCATGTTGGGGAGAGTTGTTGCCAGAGTCCAAATCCCCACACAGAAGCATGCTCGGGCCTCCTTGGCCCTGCCTGGGCGTCATGGCTGCCCAGCTCGGCACCTCGGTGGAGCACGCCGCCACTGCCGCCCAACCTGCACGCAACACAGAGAAAGAAATCGAAGGGGAAAGATAGTTAGATAGCCCCTAGGGTCCTTGGATTCGGTTTTGAGGGAGTAATCGAAGAGTAAATCAAACAATGGTTGTCGATTTGGGAAAGGTAGCTTGAACGCCATGGATGCAGGAGGGGAAAAAGGAAGCAGAGAGAATGAGAGAGAGAGAGAGAGAGAGAGAGGAGTGCGTGCGTTGGTCTCTGGGTGTGTTGACCCTGCTGTCCTGCTGCTGCTAGTGCTTTTGGGCTGCAAAACATAGGGCCACAGGGGCCGCCCCCGCTGTCTCTCGACCTCATCTATACAGGGTCACCGGCACCTTCACCACCCCGGCCATGCGCGTTCCGGCTTTGCGCCCCCGATGGAAGGGCCGAGTGGCCGGCAGCCAATTCCGCTGCCTCTATGGAATGACGATTGGCTGGGGTCCTTGGATGGGTGGGTTTAGTTCCGATGGATCAAGGATGGATTTGCTGCTATATCACTCCCTTGCAGATAGATTTTTCATGCAGGAGAGGACGAGAAAGCACCAGATCCCATCGGCCTTCACACAGGTCTATGCAGGCAGGAACTCCACCGGTCCATCAGATGGATTTTTTTTTAAACTATTAGATGATTTTTTTTTATCGGGTACAATTTAGCCGCACATGACCAACACACTTTGCACTCACACCAGAGGCACATACGTGTG